TTTCGATTGCAATTAAAATCGACTTTCTTTCTATGAAGATCGCTTGAGGCCGAGGCGCTACCTTTTTATCTGTTAGAACACGTTATCTATATCTAACCCTTTATTTCTAAGAGTTTCGATACATTATATACATCAATGTATAGACTAAAACCGAGGTCGCTTGCGGCCGAGGCATTAGTTTGATCCCACTCTATCTTTAAATGCACCATCTTAATCAGTATAGAGAATAAATAAATCCGAGGTCGGTTGCGGCCGAGGCACTAGTTTGATCACGCTCTATCTTTAAAAGTTTTAACCCTCCATCTTAATGAGCTTAGAGAATAAATAAAGCCGAGGTCGCTTGCGGCCGAGGCGGTAGCTTGGTTGCACTTTATCTTTAAATACACTATCTTAATCAGTATAGAGAATAAATAAAGCCGAGGTCGCTTGCGGCCGAGGCGCTAGCTTGATTGGACTTTTAAGAGTGGTCGCTTACGGCCGAGGCACTAGTTTGAATAAACCCTTATATAGATTGCTTTAGAGAATAACCAGAAAAGTTTTTGGAAAATTTTTAAAATTATTGAAGATATGACCTTTTTTAGCGTGCATATGCTGGTTGAGAATGTTTAGAATGGTTCACAAGATTACACAAAAACTGATTGATTGATTATTTTGGTCTAGGGCTCAATTTGTTCATAAATAGTTTAGCCGGAACAACAATTATTTTAATCCGCTAAATTTAACTATTTTTTTAGCCAGCGATTTTCTTTTCCACATAAAAAATTAATAAATTAAATTTCGCAATTTCCTAAATTAACTCCTTCAAAATATGCATTTTTACTCCATTTTCAAAAAAAGTTCTCCCTTTTTTTAAACATCTATCTATTCGATTGAAACGGCGAAAAATTACGACATGTCAGACGCGGTTGCGCCCTAATCACATATTTATGAGTCCCTTTCGGCTCGCTGACTCGAAAACTTGATCCAAACGGCCGTTTCCGATCTTTTTCTTCATCGATTCCGTATATTCAACGATCGTCTATTTCAAACTCTTTTTTGTCTCTTTGAAACTTCGTCCCATCGCAAGGTAATTATTCTCAATTATTAAAACTCGATTCTAACGTAATTGGATTTTGCAAAATCCCCGTAGAATTGTTACTTTCCGTGTTAATCCAAAAAAACTTTTTCGTCGATCTTATCAAAAAAGCGAGTTTTAATTCCATTTTAATACCGCGCGATAAATCTTTTTCGTTGTATTAAATCAAAACATTCGAATTTATGTAAAACATAAAACGCTTTGAATGAAAATTTCCCAGAAAACTTCTATTCTCACATTGTTTTATTCATTAGATGCGTAGACACAATGGGGACGGATTGAGCTTTAGCCATTTTGACGCGAAAGGGTGAAAAGCTCGTCGGAAAAGCTCGACATGTCGGATTTGAATAAATACGCGTCGGGGTTTTTGACATCGACGACCGGAAGCGGGTTGAATGGGACGGGCGGGGAATCGTCGAATTTCAATAGATCGGATAAATTAAATTTCGAACGGTCGCTAAATCATCGTTTCAAACTCCATATGCGGGCTGTTTCTTTTCAACGTTAATTATTTGATTAGGATCTCGGTTGAAATACGATGCGATACGCGGCTCGTTAGACGTCGTAATAAATATTTGAACTCTACCGTGTGGTGGTATGCGTGTGTGCTATACCTCGTTTCCATTGTAGTTTACTCGCCAAATAATCATTTGATTGGTTGTGCGGTGAGCTAATATTGACGTATGTTTCGCAGGTATAAATCCACCTTTTCTCTCTCTTTAATATATACATATATGTATATATAGCTTTTTTGTAGTCGTTAACTTAATGCAGATACTGCAATCATACAGAGTCCTATCCGAGTTAGGCAACCAACATTGCATCTTCCCCCACCACCGAACGTTATGAGTTGGGTGGTAGTGGGGAGCTATGACGTCAGAAATAGCGGTATTATAGCATTGAAGTCACCTATGATGAATCTATATCCATGTTTATTTAGACAACTTCAAAAATGTCAATATTATCTATATCTAGGATAACTTGTAAAGTCCAGAACTTGCACAGTTTAGTATTAACACCAATACAACTGTGTACAGGCTATTGTCTATAATAAGCTTATTTTCCGGCGCATCCACCATTTTTTCTAAAACAACTTTATTATGAAAAATCTGAAATATTACTAAATTCCTTTAAAACGAATGAAAAACTATTCAAGCTGTTTTATTAATAAAAAGAAAAGCTAGGAATATTGTTGTCGACAGATAGAAAAGCCCCCTTAATTCAGGCATTGTTTCCGCTATCAGAAAACATTGGATGCGGGGCAAAACACGCCTCTCTCTGTATCCGACACGTTTCCATTCGGCTAATTCCACGAAAAACAACGTCGCCCGCCGCTACACCGGTATACGGCTACATCTCTCTCCCGACTATCACACGGCTTTCTAATCGATGACGTTCCCAGTGTGGCAAAAACAAACCTCGCTATCCCGTTTCTCTACATCATACACGAAAGAGCATGTATCAATATTGGTACAGCCAATTAAGGGATGAGAGTGACGTTGACGGATCGTTTGTGCGGAGGATTATGACGTAGATTTTTTGATTTCCAGACATTTTTCGCAAAACGACGTTATCTTCATCGTCGTTCGAGGTATTTTCCAATTATTCTCGGAGGGGAATTAAATTTTAAAGTTCGATTCGAACGGTAGAAACCCCATTATCGAACGGTTAATTGCTCTGGCGCCGGTTGCATGGATCGATTCTCGTTTCAACAATACGAACGGATCTCTTCCGATAAAGGACGGATAGGAGTGGAGAGGCTGGAGAGGATTGCGCTTTCCACTCGCCACTTTTTTTTTCAAAAATTTTTTTTAGTTCGGCGAAAATGACAGGATGAATTAACGGATTAGCTGCCGAATCGACGCGTTCTACCCCCGCAATTAACTCCGGACGTTGGCGTCAGCGAAAATTGACTTTTAGGGCTCGGATATATTGCGGATTTAATATCGTTTTAACGGCGCACAGCGAAGAATTAAAATCTCAACGTGTAATGAAATAGTATTCTTTAAAAAAAACGGTTCCTGCGGGATGATATCGATCGAAATGGAGGTACGGGTTCGTGTGGTTGACGGGCTCTGGAAATGTACGGGAACTCGCCAGACCGAATCTACTGCATATTTTAGTACACCGATACCCCGGATCCACGAACCGATCCTAACACTCCGGAACCAAACTCGTCTTTGTCGAGATTCAAACAAAAAATAAAAAAAAATTAACGGTTGAGTATCTTATTCGCACATCATGAATGATGTGTCTTCTAAATAAAATAAGAATTTTTGTACTTCTCTTAAGACGGCTAAACTCACATTTTCTAGTTCTAGGTCTAGTGTTAGTTCTAGTTTTACTTGTTATTCAGTGCTAGATTCAGTGCATGGCTGCCTCGACTTCTAAGTAATGTATTAAATAAAATTTTACTTTAAGTACTAGAGCCACTGCCTCGGCAGCATGGCTGCCTCGGCTTCTATGCAACACTTTTGTATTAAAGAAAACTTTACTTTATTTTAAGTACTAAAGCCTCTGCCTCGGCAGCACAGTTGCCTCGGTTTCTAAATAATGCATTTGTATTATTTATATAACGAATTTATGGTTATAACAGACACTTCCTTCCCCGCTTTAATCCGTTATATCGAGGTTCTACCGTATTTTCCTTTCCTTTACTTTCAAAGTAAACGAACTATGACGTAACACAGTTAGTTACTGGGGAAATTCAATTCGCTCCTAGAGGGAAACAACTCGGAAAAATTGCCCATTACACGAAGAACTGTAATTTCTTTACATTATCGTTTACAATTTCCAATAACTTTTTTATTTTCTATTTGCAGTGGAAACAACGATGGGGAGTTGTCACCAAATTATCTCCGGCTGCGGGTAAGTTTGTTGATTTTTTTTTAATTTGTATTTCAGGACGAATCTAAAACAATTCGAAATCTGCTCCGTTAAATTAACAAGGAACTCCAATAAATTAACCCGTAAAAGATTTAAAGCGTAAAAAAAATTTTTCTCGTCTAAAAATAACCCCTTAGGGGTCGGTTCTGTCGTTATTTACCGCTTTTATGTACGCCCACCGATATATCACGTTCTCTTCTAAAATTTTACGTTTTTTTAACCCCGTTTGAAAAGTGGGTTGTAAAATATAATAAATTATTTATTGTAAAATATTATAAAATTCGTGATAGAACTTATAATATAAGGAAAATTAATATATTTCGAAAGATGCTGCAGACGATACCTGACGTCGAAGCGGGATGAATTATGCATACCAGACTCCTTCGTGGGTTATGTGAGATGTTTTTTTTTTATTCGGTGGATGTAGAAGCGCAACCGACAAGAATTCCTGCTGATTAAATGCCGAAGAAAATTTGTTGTAGTGAATTTTTAATACCAATTTTCGTCAAACCGCTTCTAGTTTTACCACGGAAAATCCCAATCCGTGGTGGAAAAGTAGAAAAGAGCTTTACCCGGTTTGGACAATTAGGTGGGTGACTTTAATCTTCGTAAATTGCTGACGTGGGATTATTAGACGGACCTTTTCCAATTGTCTCTTCGGCTTTTATTGGGGTTTAGTTCACTATTTTCTTTTATACCAGTTAATTATTAGGTTAAAACGATTCAAAAATATATATTTTAAAGCTAAAACGTGAAAGAATAGTTTTTTGCGAGGACGTGGAGTGTTTCTTTCGCGGACAATGAAAGGAATCGGTCTGGTTAAAAAAAAACTCAACCCACAAATTCACAGATAAAGGCGCAATCCGAAGGCGGGTAATTTTTCATTGCTTGGATGAAAAGGGAAAAGACGAGAATGGGTTACACAGTGAATTATGGGACTCAAACAAAAAATTCGTATGTCTAAAAACATAAAATACTTGCATTGTGTATCGTTATACACACGTTATGTAACGGGTGTGACAAACTTAAAACTGCCACATTTAATAAAAGTAGTCCAACATTTACTTATATCACATAATATAACTCGGTCTTACTTTATCCGAACGATTTCTGATACATTACTTAAAAAATTTTTTATAACAAACTTTTTATAAACACGATTTATTATGATTTTAGCTCATTCATTATGTGTGGAGCCTATTGTTAGCAAATACTCGGTTGATGATGGTTTAAACCGAAACCGGTACCTACACTCAAGCAAATTAAAAGGCGAAAAAAATCAATTTTTTCTTGTAATACACTTTGTAACTCCATGTTGATTGTTGATATGAACACTAACAATAAGTACTAACACTGTTAAGCTTCAATGTTGTAGCAACACATTCCAAGCTAATTTCAAACCAGCTCTCTCACCCCATCTACGTTCACCAAAACGGTTCCTGACGGATATAGCGTCAATTATCGCGATTGTTATTGGATTATGCTACCGTTATTGGATACGAACCGCGTTCCAATTGACGGTAATTGCTTGAAACTTGAGCTTACGCGTCGCGAGGCGATTGCGAAACCCGTCGAAAACGCATCAATTGCGTGGTATTTCGGTGGGAGGTTGGGGTGTTTTGTAACCTTCAGAAGCGTCTAATTAAGCGTCTGTGTGCAGACGAGCGAGCCGTTAAACTCGAGACGCGCCAGTTTAAAAATAACACGGCGTTATGCTCCGAGATGTTTGCTTTTCATAATATCGAAACTGTACTCCGCTACGACCGCGAAGTTTAATTTTCACCTCCTTTTCACGAGGGTTATTATAGTTGGATTTTTTCTTTTTGTTGTTTTGGTGAAGGAGCCGGAAACTAAATTCTAAATTCAATAAATACACCTTATTCGACGAAAATAAACCGAGTCTAGAAAGTTTTAACCACAAAAACGAGCCGTTTCTAAAGAAGAAGAACCGAAATCCCATTATTTTAATTAAGACTCCCCCGGATTAATTCGCAAAGAGATTCGGAATTTCTCGAGGGAATCCTAGTTTAGTTTGGGAAAGAGTTTGATTTTAACACACGTTCGTGACCCGGTGCCTCTCTCAATTATTCACGTGTTAAGGAGCAGTAAAAACGCGCATAAATTACCGACTTCGATGGCACGAAGGCCACCGCTACGTTCCGTGGCATTATTATCCTTCTGGGCAATTTCGGGCATTATTCCAAACTCCAATCTTGATGTATACAGAGTGCATAAAATAAATGGTTGCGTTCGGGGTATTAGTTTTTCCAACGATTTATATATAGATAAAATGAAAGAGTAGTAATTTTTAGTAATTATCATTTATGAATTATTAAGGGACTGATTAATTTTTGGAAAGGATACACCGAAATGGAGGTTTCAATCAAAGCCTTGCGGATTCTGAGGGAGTTATTAAAACTTGCCTTCGCGGAAACAATGAGCATCCGAACGAGTCCCTTTGTGGGGATGAAACTACGGTGATGTAGATGTAGCTAAAGAACTTGTTCGTTCACGTTTGATAATAATGGAGGTAAAATCGATAATTTTGAAAACGGTACGAGTGGAAATTTACGTGCAATAATTTTAATGGCGCTCTCGGTTTTTATTTATCGTCGCGCCCGCTAACGTCCGCAACAAAACAATTAATTTAGCCATAAATTGATATTTCGGCGGACAGTTAATATTATGTGAAGTGGTGAAACTGTAAACATTGTTAAATAATAAACTCTGAATATTCAGCAAAATTAAAAACGACTTACTTAGAAATCACGGCTTTTAATAGGCATCGTTCATTAATCGCTGGTGATGTACGATTGGTCCCGTATGCTCGTATATTATGTTTAAATTAGCAGCTCGGAGTTTAGTTTATGGCTCCACCATTTTCGATTAAAACGGTATTGCCGCGTCCCATTCTGATCTATTGTATCGATTTGACCTATCCGTCATCTCCACCATTCGTTATAACAAGTTTGGATAAATTTCCATCCCTATTTCGATTCATCAAACTGAAAGATAATTAATATCGCATCGTAATTAGTTTAAAATTTTTGATCCGGTTGATAATAAAGGAAACTTACCGGTCTTATTTGTAAATCCCCTTTTCCTGTTGCTACTTCTTTTGCGAGCATTTTTCCTTTCCCCTCTTGTCCACTTCGCAACGAGCCCAAACGCTTTCCAATACGTGTCCATTTTCCGGCAAATTGATTCCGAACTATCCGATGTTATTTCCGGGGATATGACAGTTTTTGCGCTTTTCCCGACACATTTTCCTTTTACTCCTTTGTTGAGAAGTTATTTTTTCTTCTTTTCATGTCAAACCATAAAGGTTTATACTTGTTTTTGATCCACTTGTTTACCTAAATTAACAAAAAAATATATAAATTAATTTTAAAATAAAAAAAATCTAGTACTGTATGGCATATACATACATGAAAACAAAGCCTATAAGCATATAAAGGTGATAGTCAGAAAATAGCATCACTGCGCAAGTCTAATACTCAATAAAGTCTACGATATCTTAATACATCAACCATATGAAAATAAAGATAGAAGTATGAATGAGTAAGAATGAAGCTCATTACGTAATGTATAAGATGCCTAAGACGTGACAACACTATGAGATTCTGCAGAAAATATAATGGTAAGATCAAAAAAGTTACTGCCCAAGCCGGACAAATTATCCCTAATATAGTAAAGCCTGGATGTGGCTACCTCCACAACATTACACTGAAATATCTTATGCCTAGAGCATGAAACTACCAAAGTCAGCACCTATACCTACCAACGATATCCGAACCATTTATACCCGGAATAAAATGATTATGCATCAAAAGCGATCTGTTCCTGACCTGTCGTGTTCCTCATTTCTGAGGCAGAGGTTGAGCCGAGGTCGCTTTTGCCCGAGGCGCTATATTGACATCATATCTATACAAAAACTAAACAGTCTTGAAGATAATGTAATTTTAACAAATAGTTTGTTTTTACGTCCACTTTAGTATTACATGTCCCGACTTTTATTACACGACGATGTAAAAGCAATGAAATTCGCTTACAATTGCTATCATCATTACCAGACACATTATCCGTTAGAATTCTTTTACCACAAATTAGGGGCGATGCGATAAAATTGCTTTAGTTAACTCACTAGCAAGAAACAACAACAACTTTAATTAACGACATACACTTACTATTAACTTCACGATCTTGGCAAAATTGCATCATATATGTTAAAATCTTATTTATGAAACTTATCCAAATGTAAGAGTTAAAAAATAAAATCTAAGTCTAGTTGAATCTAGTCTTTGTAGTCTATTAATAAAGTTATTAATAGAAGTTGTTGTGAAGTCGTGAATTCTTGAGCTGGAGAGTTGAGTACGGAAACACCAGATTATTCCTTCGTTCAGAGTTCAAAACAGGAAAATATAAATGTTATATTATTTTTGGGTAAAAGAATTTTAGATGAAGATTAAGTATTTTCTGTTAAGAGATAAGATTAAGCATATCTCGTACTTTAAAAGTTCTAAAATTTTGTTGGGAAAATGTAATATTAAATTTGATTTGTGTTAAATCGATATTTAAAAAATCCCTAGGGATAAAGTCTGGAAGAATCTTTCCTTCATTTTCATCGTAACTCGTCGAGATGATTAATCATTACCCCATTTTCGTTCGATACACAGCACGTCCACCGTCTTCGTGACCGATTTAGTATTCAATACCGCCTTCGTATGCATAATTACGACTTGGTAAGTCGATGGGGTGGGGATCAAATCACCCCCCAAGAAAACCCCTCCGCCACCAGCCCACTTTTGGATCCCTCGTCTTTCGTTTCAACGTTGAAACTTCTAGGAACGTCTTGGAAAGATGCCATCTGCCCCGACAAGGCTTCGACAATATGTTGTGTTCGGACTGATTTTATTAAACAGCTGGAAAAGTAGGTGGAGGCGAAAACTTTTCTCGTGCCGAAATTTAATGTATAGCTCGCGTGTACAGGACAGATTAGCGTCTTCTTCTTTTCGAAAACTAATTTGAGGGCGCGTCGTTTGTCATCGGTAGTCGACGGGGAGGGCTCAAACTGGCTTCGAACGTATTCGTGAAAGTTCGATGGGGAGGATCTGCAAGTTCGAGTAACCCGAGCTCGAATTTTGGGGAAGGCTAGGTAAATTACCGACCGGAATCCGGGATATGCAGGTCGAAATAATTAAACGCTTCCAGATCGACGATAAAGCGGCTAAAATGCTAATTCGACGCTCGTTAGCGTCGTATTCGTTACAACAAGTCGTAAATCATAGGATGCTTTCACTACACTCCCCACCAGATTCATTACGTTATTAGTGTTATTATTATCATCCCTTTGTGAACACAAAAAAATATTTTTATCCCATTTCCATTTAAACTCTATTAATAATACAGCTCATCATCAATTTTATTTCAGTCACGTTTTGAGTTGGGGGGGAAAAGTAAAGAAGGAGTAAATCAAAGTGTTAAGTACGGTTAATCCACCAGTTTAAACAAGGGCTTAGGTCTTATACCTTTCGAAATAAAACGCCGGGCGAATATAAATTTCGAAAACCTCCGTTTTCGTGGATGATTCGAAAACCTCCCCTTATTATCGGATGCAGACGGAACGGGGGATGCTTAAAAGCTCCCAGCTTTCAAAGCTTGAGGCCGATTATTAGCGCCATTAGTTCGGTATGAAAACGTCGTCGTGGCGCTACATTAACCCAATGTTATCAGTCCATTAAATTATTAACTAACGAACGTACTTTAATGTCACTTTATGGGATGAGTAAATCATTTATATTTTCTGTTAATTAATTGATGAAACAACATATTTTTTCTAAATCCAAGGTTGTTTTGCGGCCGAGGCGCTACCTCCATGGTATTTTAACTTTTCGGGCTTTTATATCATCTCTTTACCTGTTGAGAGGCTAAAGGTCTATCTAGAATCTAGAGGTCTCTTTACGGCCGAGGCACTATTTCTATCGTATCTTAACTTTTCGAGTTTTTATGCAATTTCTTAATCGGTTGAGAAAATAAGGCCGAGGTACTACATCAATTGTACTTTATCTTTAAAGATTTTGATACACTATCTTCACCTGTTTGGGGTATGAGTCGAGGTCGCTTTACGACCAAGAGGCTACATCCATCGTACTTTATCAAAAAAATCGTTTCGTCGAATGAATTTATTTTAATCGTAATTAATAGTGTTATAGTTTTTTGTTATTTTTTGTTGTTTATTGAAAAACAATAAACCATGAATTGATGAAAAGGCAATTTTTATAAAACGAATACTGCCTTTCAGCACAACTAAACCGTTCTAAATTGCATTGTCCGAGAGAATTCAAACGATTTTGTACCTTGCCGAGTTGCTGAACGCAGCAAAATTTCCTACAAACAAGCAAAATATTCCGGATAAATGTTCTCGGAAAGCGGATTCGACGGTCCGCCTGCATTAAGCCGTCTTTTACCTTCCCATACTCAAAGCATAAAAATAATGTAAAGTATTTTTTCTTATAAATCTTTTGAACAAAATTGAAAAGTGGAGATTAAGATTTACAAATAAAAAGAATCGGGTTCATAAGTCTTCTTAAACGCGTACTGTTAACTGCGGTGAAGTTCATGAATACATTAAAAACTAACGGCGTGCACTATTACTTCCATTCAAATTTTCAACGTCCGGAAATAACGCCCTTTCTTGTTTCCTAGCTAGGAAAATTGTGGGGGTATTATTAAGTCGCCCCGTTTTTAAGCGAGTTAATATTCCAGGATAATGCGCTCCGGATTCGTTCGAGGCTTTTGTTGCGTTTCGCGATAATTAAAACGAAGACGAGAAAATATTTTATTATTATCGAGAACGTCTTAAAGCGAAAACAATTTTAATTATATTTTATTTCAATTAAGTTAGTAAAAAAGAGAAGTTTTTAGAGATAGTACATGAGAAAACTGAATTTATGAATTCGAAAAGCGTCTTTTGGTCCGTACGGGAATTACCGAATTGAACTTTAGCCCCCCTTTCGCGTAACTTTCTCAGGAGTTAAAACTTGAGGCAGTGGATTGTTAGTGTTTCCCAAGAACGGGTCCGAAACTTGAAATTATTGCGCGGAATTATTCGCCGAAGCGGAATATAATTGGATTTGGGGTCCACCTGGAAGACGATCTCATCTTATTTCGTCTTCAAAAACCGACAAAAAAAATCCAAAAAAAAAGGATAATCTCTAAAAGGAAGGATCTCTCATCCGTTTTGTGGATTTTCTTTAATATTTGAGCAAGAATTCTATTTTCTTTGACATTTCGAAAGAAATTTTCTTTTCGGTTTTCGCCTATTACCAATCGAAGCAATGAATTCCACCAGAATCCTTCCCGATTTAACTCGATTTAATGAAGTTCTCGAAAACTTTTCGATGGCTCCGAAATATACGAGATTAATCCACCTTCTCTTCGCCCTCCCTATATTTCCCCGGAAAAACATCCCCCAGTTTTCCCAAACTACCAACCGATAAGCTGGGAATTTTTCATCCCCCAAATTTAATTACGTATACACCACCCAAAAAGTTTTCTAAAGGGAGAAAGTTTTAATATCCATAACTTCAACTATAAACACCCCTAATAAAACGCGAATAAAACAATTCAATTTCTTTGTCCCAAATTCAAAACTCAAGCCGCAATCTATTTAATTGAAAAAGTAATTTATGAAATAACCCACTCGAAAACGTTGGCGAAATTTGAAAAGGAAAATTCTCTCAACTATACACATCATAACGTAACGTTTCAAAAACACCTCCCTAACGAAGTGATTCAACCCCTGAAGTTGGCGCCACTAACGACATGGAAAAGCGGGAGAAGAGTTCGATTGTCGAGAAAAGCGCGAGACGCGAACTTCTCGAAAATAAAAAAAAAATACCCATATACCCACGCGGGAATTACGTTCGCATGCAAATTCCCGCGGGGGGTTAAACGAAACGCAAAAGATAATGAGGGTCGATAGATCGAGAATCCGTTTTTAATTCGTTTGCCTCCCAACCCCAATGGTTTAAAAATATCGCCCAACGATTTAAAATGTAGATTTCCCACTTTTACCGAGGAGTAGTTCCGAGCAATCAACGCAAGAGAAAAGTTTTTCATAATAGGAATCTGAAGGACCAAGATTTGAATCGAGTGGAAGAAAGTGCTTGAAACAAAAGGTCCTTTCTCTTTTTTTTTTATTTTTGGAGGGTTTAAATTAAAAACCCTAATCCATCAAAAAAAACTTTTTTTTAACCTTTTTACTAGAAAGGTTTTTTTTGGGAAATGTCCCCTCAATCAATAATCGTGAACGTGGTAAAAGAGCGATTCAATATAGCACATGAAAAAAACATGC